GATCGTCAGCGATAAACGATGTTGATCGTTTCAACGAACAAACTTATCGATCGTGTTACACACACCTTTTGCTAAATTACGCTTTATGCATCCATCGATCCACGTGACGATAGTGACGCTTTCATGTGCCATTATCGTGTCTTGTTTCCTTGTTTTTATTCATAAAAAAGAAAAATAAAGAGAAAAGAAAAGCAAAAAAAAGAAAAAGGAAAAAGGAATTATGTTTAATTACACTTCATTTATTCTTTTTTTTTTTTTTTATACACAGACATAAATCATACACCTCATGTGATAAATTTATACATATATTTATCTATGTGTATGAAGTGTATGAAAAAAATTTAATTAGATATAAATATATAATCAAACGATAAATTTGTCATTGCAATTTTGTGAATCAGTTTTGATGCTTCAAAAAAAAAAAAAGAAAAAAAAATAAAACTTAAAAAAAAACAAAAAGAAGAAGAAGAAAATAACGTTAAAATATTGCTCGTAAGTATGGTGTGTGTAAGAGAGAGAGAGAGAGAGAAAGAGAGAGAGAAAAAGAGAGAGAGAGAGAGAGAGAGAGAAGAAAAGATAGAGAAGAAAAATGTGAGGTTATTCATAAAATCTCCTCCCCTCTTTACACATCATTTAACAACCCTCTCTCTTTACTTTATGTAACACCTTCTCCTGTCAATTATTTTCACCTCGAATACGAGAGAGATAGATGGATAGATGGATAGGTAGATAAATGGATAGATAGATAGATAGAGAAAGATATATATATATATATATATATATATAAAGATAGAGAGAAAGAGAGAGAGAGAGAGAGAGAGAGAGAGAGAGAGAGAGAGAGAGAGAGAGAGAGAGAGTTAATGAGATTTGTCTCGAAGAAGATGTCATATGAAATCGAAAGTGAGTGCAATTCACCCTTTCTTATGAATTGTTCTCTAGTATCTAATTCTATTCGTTTATATTAGCCTAGACCCTAAGACGAGAGAAACGTAACACACATTTATTGCACCACACCCACGTAGAAAGAAACGATTCGCGTATCTTTCTTCTATCCTCCTCCTCTTCTTCTTCTTCTTCTTCTTCTTCTTCTTCTTCTTCTTCTTCTTCTTCTATCTTTCTTTGTACGTGTATGAACGTATGTATCTACTTATATATGCGTATACGCATGTATATATTTGTGCGTATGTATATATATATATATATATATATATATATATATATATATATATATATATCTTGTGGGGGCTGGCTTGTGCAGTGTTGCTGGTTTGACCAATGAGATCGTTCGAGCTCAACCTTGGCACCAATGTGAACGAGCCGTGAAGTGTTTCACATATACACTTATACATATCTGTTACTCGTTCGATGCAATGATACATATATGTATGTGTTTGTGTATATGTGTGTGAGTTTTTATATATGTACATGAGTATGCGTTTAAGTGCATACGTATAGATATATGTTTATGTATCCACTGTGTGTGACGACACGATGATGCCTTGTACTGAATTACATTCGCACACGTTCAGTCGTACTGTACTCTATCTCCTTCCTTTTCTAACATACTATATACTTCTATCGTATTCTCTCCCTTTCTCTCTCTCACTCTCTCTCTCTCTCTCTCTCTCTCTCTGTGTCTTTTTTTCTTTCTCTCTCTTTTTTTTTTTTTTTAACTTTCATTCTGCGACACGAGTGACGTTCGCTATTTGTTATCTCCCCTTGTTGCTTGTCACACCGAGAGAAAGAAGAGCAGACAGAGAGAGAGAGCAGACTAGAGAGAGAGAGAGAGGGAGAGAAGAGAGAGTAGAGAGAGAGAGAGAGAGAGAGAGAGAGAGAGAGAGAGAGAAAGAGACGATGGAATTATGGAGAACGAGTTTAGCATTGGAGGTGTAATATGAGAGGAACACGTACAGAAATAATGATAAACAA